CGCCGCGGCCTCCGGGAACGTGTGAAATACGGCTCCCTACCTCGGCATCCCCCCCTGGCGAATGTTTACAAAACTGCCATAAATTAACTGTTTGCCGTCTGCCCATACTTGCTCCCCAGCGTGGAGGAGGGAGCTGTTGGAAATAAAGCCCCCAGCAAACGCCCGGCTCCCAGCCGCGGCCCAGCGCCCCCGCCTCCCCCGGGCCGCATCCGGCCGGGCCCCGCTCCCGCACAGGCAGCGTCCCGGCTCCCGGGCCTTCCTTCGGGCAGTTCTTAGTTCAACTTCAGGTCATGTGAAAAGTAACCGGCTCTGACGCAGCCGTGTGAGGACAGCTGTTCGCTGAAGTTACGCGCGCTGCTTAGTAAATATTTCCTATTGCGATTTAAAACCGCTTCTTAGGTTGCTTTTTGCAGAAGGAAGAAGAAACAGGTCACTAGTGTTTGCCTTCCCAACTTCACAGCTGCTGGAGCTGGCTAACCATATCTGATTAAGCACAAAAAAGATACAGATATTTGCAGAATATATGTTTTCGACTCAGTGAAAGCAAAAAAATCTGTAGATGTTTGAGAAAAGCACCCATTATGTCAGCTGCAAAGAAAGCCAGTTTTATTTGGTGTGTGACAGTGATTTCTCTCTGAAATTCCTTCAGTTTGGCACTTAGAGGCTGCTCATTCCTCTGTCTCTTGACAGCAGTCAGCCAACCTGCTGGTCAGCCAAACCATAGAGCATCACTGTAGGTGGCTACTCATTTTAGAAAAAGTTGTTTTCCCCATGTGACTAATGCAACAGCACCCTTATAAAATGTGTGTGTGCACCTGGCATGGGCATCTAGAAGACCTCTGTGATCATGGAGGTCTTTGCAAAAAAAACCCAACAGATCGCATCTAGGAAAAACAAAACGTTGACTATGAGCAGAGCTCCACTACCAACGTACCCTAGAAACCAGCACTTGCAGGTGGGCAAAGCTCTGACTGTGCAGAGCCCTGCTGTGCTGCATGCAAAGTTCTCCTGAAAGTCAGCACAGATTGAGAGGTAATGCCTAGCGACAGCAACCCACCGCGTGTCAGGCTGCTGCCCAACAGACCTTGGGAGCTGGTTTGCCTTCTCACTTAGCACAAGAAACTGTGGTGCTCCTTGTTGAATTTTTCTCTCATTCTCCTGCAGCACCAGGGACGTTACATTTCTTCCCCTAGTCTCTTTTTCTGTGAGCACTTTTGTCCTCCCTTAGAAAAAGTGATTACTTCCCCCTCTGCAGGGGCCAGCTGGAGTTCAGCACTGTTGCTAGGGCTTGGAGTTTGGCTTTCTCGCCAGTGCCATCCGTTTGCTTTTCACGCTTCATTTGGTCAGCATTTAGCACGTAACCAACTTTGAGAGCACTTTCCACCTCTCTCAAGGAAACAGCAAGCGAACTCTTTTTCTTTCAACTTCTCTTGCTCCTTGGAGCTATCGATCTGTGCAATACAGCTCCTCACTGCCAGGCTTGATCTACTTCTCTTTCCTGGGATCACAGAGTAGTGGAGAAAATAGCTGTCCTGGTATAAGTGCAGGGGTTTTTCAAGGCTTCCCCACAGACAAACCAACCTGCCTCTTGGGTCACATCCAGAGCAGTCTACAAACAAAAATTGTAGTGAAAAAGTGTCATCTATCTGTCTGTCTCTCTACCTATCTGCTGAAGGCAATTAATTTCCCCATGTCCTTGGAGGGAAACCAAGTGCAAGATTCTTTCTTTAAAGAAAATAAAATAATTCTACCATTACATGAGGGATAAAAATCCAAAAGGTTGACCCTAAGTATCTTATTGGCTTCTTCTGTAACCTCGGTGACTGACAGAAATTGTCCTCAAGTTTTATTTGCCTTATTCTTTGCTGATAAGCCTTTGCTTCTTTAAAGCTCATCTCAAGTAGTTCAGCAAAGCAGAACATCTTCTAGCAGTGCAATTCAGCAAGAGTTTGGTTGAAAGTTTCAGCACAATTTTTTTAGTTAGCTGTTGCAGCTGTACCACAACGAATAGGCAAATTCAACAAGGTATCTAGAATGGATATTTGAATCTCTCTGTTGGCCAGTCACAAGGACAATTAATAGATGATTAACAGAAAAATTCAACAGTAATTTGAAATCATAATCTTAAATCTTAGGGACATAAGGTGAGAGTTGACTAGATGTACGTGAAATAGATATCGATCCCTAAGATCTCAATGAAGTAGTTGAATAGAAGCTTTTGTTCACTGAAATGAAAAGGGTTGGCACCTTCAGAAAGTAATTTTCTGATCCTTCTACAAAATCCTGTTTGTAGAATCTTCGTGGAAAGCTTTTGCTAGCTACTTCAGCTGAGAGATTACATGGGGCATTCTGTGAAGTCATTTAAATGAAGGGATTCATGATACATGAATTTTCATTTCTTCAATATGACAACAAGGTCATCCCCCAAAATTCCTTCTTTGATCCCATGACACATTTGAAATCTGTTGTCATTTTTCCCAGTAAATTTCACTTTGGATTTTCCTCTATACATCATTGCTGTTCAGCTGGCAGGGCTTGGTTGCAATAAATAAACACTTGTCTCAGCTAATTTTTTCACCGCATGTGTTCCTGGGTATTTGCTAGACATCTTCTCAAGACTGGGGATAACGAATTCTTTTCTGCAGGCCATGTGCGGAACTTGGAAGAATGGAAGAGATCAGATAGAGACGGGATTAAATTGAGCATTTTTGCAGGTAATGCCTCTTTACATACTGGCTTGTTACATACTCCATTACCCTCCAGCTCTCTGTGCTTCACATGCATGCTACTGAGTGATCAGTCGACTGCCACCAATTAATTAGATAACAATCTAATACAGACTGGAGTTCCTAAAAGACTAAAAGATTTTACTCTAACTGTGGCAACAGACTACTGTGCTAAAACAAGCAGAAGATAGAGGCTATTGAACAGTCATAACTAAAGGAAGAGCAAAGGTGCAATCACTCGTTATTACTGGCTAAATAGCAATCATAAATAGCAATCGGAGTGGTTTCTAGGCGATCCACTATGGCAAACCAGTTTTGAAAGCTTAACGGGTAAAGAGAGAAGGCTACCCAAAGGTTTCGATATTAATTTCAGAAGAGGCTTCATGCATGTAGTTCAGCAGAAGTGAAATTTATAAATGTTAATGTAGAAGTGCGGGTTGTGTTTAATGCGAAAGCCATATTGACCACAATACATCTGAATTACATCATCTGAACTTTTTCAGTAAGTGGATGATGGAAGACAGTGAAATCAGTTCTGCTCATATTTAAGAGCAGGAGCTTAATTGTATTGCTACTTCATGTCTTAAGCTCTTATCATTTAAACCAGAGTATTTCTATTCCATCAAGGTTACCGACTTGATTTCTGCGTAGTTTCACGCTGCTGTAAAAGAGAAGGGGGAAAAAGCTGAAGGAAATTGAATTTTTTTTTTTCTAAGTAGAAAAATCTTTCTAGTTTATGACAGCCTGTAAAAATTGATTGTCTGTCTTAATGTAAACAGATGGTCACAGATCCAGGATGACTGACATTTACTATGTTCATGCACAGCTCCCAGGGGACTCTGCTTTTAACATAGTCCACTGTGCCTGTGAATCCAGCAGTTCAGAAAAATAAACACTAACAAGGATTTCCACTTTTAAAGAACTTTTAGTAGTGAGTCTACTGAGTAACTCAGTGACTTCTGCTGCTCATCAAGACTGAAAGAAACTGCCTGCACCACTTGCATGACCAGTGTTGTTTCAAAAGTCAAAACTATAAATAAAAGTGTTTTTGAAAAAGGACAAACCTACCTTTTCTCCTTCTAGCAAAAAGCAGGGATGGCTTTTCCTACTCTTCTATTATCGTTTTAGATCCCATTCAGGTTTGCTCCTGTTCTTTTGCCTCCTGTTTTGTAATGTACTCTTTTATATCACCCTTTTTTTCTGCTAACTAGATATTTTATCATACCTCTCACCCTACTCTCAAGTAACTCTTGCCTCCTCCAATTAGTTTGTCTTTCTTTTCCCTTTACCAGCAGCAGTAAGCTTTAATGCCAGCTGTCAATAAAAAAATAAAGATTTAGGGGGAAAAGGTACACCAACCAGAATCCTGCTTATGCTCTAGCTACCTTTGTTCCTTTAAATAAACACTTCTTCCACATCTAGTTAAGGAAGTTTCCTGTTAGAAGAAGGTGATGAAAATCTGGCATGCCTAAGTAAAAATTATAACAAGATAAAAGTAAAATACGTGCCTAGAAAATGTTCATTCACTTGGCTTGGCTTTCACTTTCTTTGCTTTGTAGGTGTTACACACCTACCTGTGTAATTTTATGTATTAGTTCCTTAGATTTTTAAAACTGTAAGCAGAGGATGTGTATTTGTGAGACTGAAGTAGAACTGACTAAAAGGGGTTAGAAAGAGGATCACGTTCTATATACTTGTTGATGGACGAACTCAAAAATCTTTCAAGTAGCTCCTGGAAGATGCATATGCATCACTTAGCAGACACACACCTACCTATCAGCAGTAGTTTAAGTTAGTAACTTGAACTATGAAAGTAAATTAATACCTCATTACTGCAATTATGTTTTTAAAAAATCTGAACGTGTCTAGGTCTATGGGGAGTGTGCTTCTCTCAACGCTTGTTTTGAGTTGTTTTGAAAATCTTCCAAAAGCTTGACAAACGTGTCAACACCACAAGGTCAGCCGGCTTTGAGATTGGGTTCTTCCTAGAATTTGTCCCAAGACTTTCCTTTAAAATATATACAAGAGACACAAAACTATGCACTGAACTTGAAACAGTTCAGAAATTAACAATTAACAGAATTTCAGACCAGCAGTACAAACATTTTTTGAGAGACATCCCCTGCCCTGCAAACTCATTTTAAACTCTACCCTGGACTATGCTTCCACAATATGTGGGGATGGAACAGCGACCTCATTCAACTGAAATACTTTCGAAAAGAGTTTTCCAATATAAATACTTGAGACCGAGTACTTCTTTTGTCCAGTTTCTACAGCAGTTTTAGCAAGAAACGGGATTATTAAGAGAAAAAGCTATAGCAATTGAGAGCGCAGTAAGAGAGGTCTTAATGGAAAGGGGGACAGATGCGAGAGAGAAAGTGAA